CAAGCCTAATAAAAAAGTTTTACTACTAAGTTCAAAATATAAAAATATAATAATTGAAAAAAATACAAAACTTAGTCAATCTACTAAATTTTGGATTTTTTCAACAATCGAATCTTTCAAACGCTTACGCCCACTTTTCAATTCAAGACGAGCTCCGTATCCCGAAGTTTCGTGTAACTTTTTTGCTCGTGAAGCCATTCGTCGAGATACATTAAATTCTTTTCTCATTTGTCGGATGCTCCAAGATAAAGGTACTGTGGTTAAAAGACTAATTTTACGAGAACGAGTAACTTCATTAGAGATAGCAAGCCTTAAATCCGCAATCCAATTTTCATCCATAGAAAGGTGACTGCTGGATTTCTGTTGGCTGTACTTGTCCACTGATTATATGTTATTACTGAAATTTCCGAGTCTTTTAACAAAATTTGAAGTTTATCAATAGTGATACTTGTACCGGGGCATTTCTCGCAATCGTTGAAATAACAGTCTGGAGTTGGACTCCAGCCAATAATTCGAATCGTGATTTTTTGGCAGGTGAAACTTCAAAATCCTACAATAATAAATAATAAAATACAATAATAAAGTAATAAATATATTTTTTGACTCTTTACGATACTAAATAATAATTTGATAAGAATTAAATTAAATATTTTAAAAAATTGAATGATTTCGCAATCTGAATCATAGATAATCAGTTTTTTGTTATTGCACTTGCTTGGAATAAAATATTTGCTTTGTTTCAAATCCAACAAAAATTTTATTATATAACATTATAATTACCTTATCATTGATATTAGGATCTTCATCTTCGTCATCTTGTTCGTCACTATCTGTCTCAAGAATCGGAGAGTTTCTTTCAAATGTACTATTTTCCGAGACTAGTTGTAAATTTATGATATTAGATTGCCTGTATATTTGACTCTTGCAAGACTTACAAACATATATCCAACTAAATTTTTAAATTTTTCATCCCATTTTTCTGTAATTAGAACATTTTTATAAACACATTTATGATCTTTTTTTTTCAATGGATTACAACAACTGTTAGTTCTTGGCATTTTTTAATAATAATATCGTCTAAATCACTACTGATAAACCACTAAGATCTATGCTTAAGACAACAATAAAAACAGTAAAAAAACGAAAGAGTGGATAATACTTAGTATGAGCGCCGATTCCGTGCAAGTTTAGACCGTCCGGTGCTTGCACGCACGGTGCTACGGGAAGGCTCTCCCCTGCCCTGAACGCTGAGGTTCCATGTCGGATCGAGGGGGGTTGCCCGCCAGCGACCTACTTGGCCGGCGATGTATGCTGTGCCTGAGGCGTAGAGGTCTCGTACGACCTCTACCTTGCCGTTGGCGTTCTTAGGATGCTACGCGAGCCGTCCCCCGTCAGCGATCCACGGTTGCTGACGGTGGTTAGGGGGCTGTTATATGTCAGAACGGGGGTCGAGACCCAACCACTGTGCCCGATGCGAATCCTCTGGGTCCTTAGTGACCCAACGATGTCGACAATGGAAGTCGGGGATTTAGCGAACTTCTCCAAGAAGTGCTCCCCTCCCCTCCCCCCCATGTACCCCACGAAAAGGGCTTCTCCCCCTCCCGTCGGTAACTGGGGACGCACTCCAGGAATCTCCTCAACCCCGAGGGTAGAGAATATATAATATTTGGAGACCCCGGGATTACCTCTTTATACACCAGACGAGTTGCCAAGGCTCCGCGCGATTACACCGAGGCGCAGCGAACGGTGCTGCCCGCACCGAGCAGTGCCGGAGAAATTTGGTCTTTGGCTAGAGCACGTCCTTCTGACCTTGCGGAGAGACAGTTGTGTGTGTCTAATCCGTTTCTGAATGCAATGCTACGTGGACGAGAGCGCGCGCGCTCGTGGATCTAACTCGACAACCTGAGTTAATTCATCTCCCCGTCACTGATTCTCGATCAACAGTGCCGCCCTCCCGGCTGAGTTACTTCCTCGCCAGACGAATTTCCTGGAGCCCTTCCTCCCTCAGTCTTGGAAGAAGATCTTATGGCGTTTACGGCTATGAGTGCGGAACGAGGTCGGGTACCAGAAGGAGTTTGATTTACTATCAAAAGACGACCGTCGTACAACCCCCGAAAACGACATACTCAAAAAAAAGAGAGCCATTGCTCACTATTCCATCAACTATGACAGACGAGAATAGCCTCACCGAGTGTTTGTACAGAGCGCTCTTATATATCCACCAGCGAGCGAACTCGCTCGCGGGCTGATCACCCGGGCGACGCGCCGCCTCGCGGCGTGCGCCGCTACCTACGGCAGCGAGGGTCCAGCGCGCACGAGACCATCTCGCCTGTCGCGCTGCAACACTGCGGTCGAGCTTCGCTCGATCCGCAACACACATTTGTGTACATTTTCATCAGAATTCTTCGCATTGATTCAATAAATATTAAAAATGTTTACTTTCTTGTTGTAGACACAGTTGCAATCTTCGCTGAAACGCTCGACGAACTATTACCGGTTGTTCTATCGTAATTATAGAGCAGGCTTGTCGAATTCTGCATTTTATATCTTCCGTTGTCATTAAAGCAGTTGCCATGACTCGACTTTTAATGGTACTCCATAGAAAGTAATCAAGTGACGTTAAATCTGGAAAACAAGGAAGTCAGTGCACTACATTCCCTCGTCCTATCCATTTCTGAGGGAAAATCTTTTGCATTTTCTGTCGAGAAATCCTTGCATAATGCGCTGGTGCTCCATCATGTTGTATCCACATGTTTATGCGTAAACCTAGTTCTTTAATAGTTGCGTGAGTATTTCTCTATAAAATTTGTATGCACTTTGCACATTAAAGGTGTTTAAAATCCACGATGCCATATCAGATATTCAGAGATCAAAGGCGTTGAAAATGAATAATTCGCATCCACAACGAGAATTCTCAACCGCCCAATAGTACATGTTATGCCTATTCACTTGTCCATTATTACGGAAATTAATTTCATTGGAAAATAAGACATGTGAAAGGAAAGTTTGTTCCTCATTAATCATACGTAACATAATATTGTTGATTTATGCGACTTGTAAAATCAAGTTCTAAATTTTGATGTAAGTGAATGTGAAATAGATGAAAATTGTTTTCATGTAGCATTCTGAGTATTGAACTTTTGCTAAATTCATTTTCCCTCTTTAATTAACTAATACCAACCATAAAATTCGATTGAACATCACTAGTAGCTGTTTTCCTTCGTGTTTTTTTTCCTGCACTGTACCACAACTAATAAAATATTCCGTTAGCTGTAAATGCTATATGCGATTTTCTTTCGTGATTTCAGGATAACGTTCAGCACACATATTTGCTGTTTGGCAATAGTTCTTCCTACACTCTTCTAATACAATGAACATATCAAAATATTCCTGATATTGCCGATCCATTACGATAATGACTAATTCATAGCTAATGAAAAAAATTATTACTCAAGATGAGAGATAAGGGGACTTATGCTAATCATGCATATCGAACGTGAGAAGCAAGAGGACTCACGCTATTCAAATACAGCGAACGTGAGAGACAAGGCCACTCATATTAATCAAGCACGTGTGCTTACATTTATATATAGATACATACAGAAAGATAAATGGATGTGAATAAAGTCTCGCAATCTTTATCATTATCTGATACGCATTGAATAATATCAACGCTACTGTAATATTAAAGACTCATAAATTAAGAAGTTTTTACATAATAATCATAAATTAAGAAATTCTTACGAAAGGGGATTTAATTATATTGTTACGCCCATGTCTTAATGCCCGCGTTTTTAGCGCTCTGAACGTACAGCTGATTCTCTTGACAACGAGTCGTAAACAACAGATGATCAGCGTTGACCGATAAACAACAGATTTGAGAGATTCTCTCTGGGGCGGTTGAGTTGCCGTGACGTGCGCGTCGATCTTTCGAGAGAGAGAGAGAGAGTTTGAGCCTGCGTGTTTTCTTGTAAATAGCAAATATATAGTTGAAGTTGTTTCCCATTTAACGTTGTCTCGTTTTATTTCCCGCGCGAACGTAACAATATCATTTTGGAAACGTTCCGATGTCAGCTATAAGAATCTACTATAAGAAATAGAGCTATTCTATTTAAAAAATTAATGACGACCTTTGTTTTTTTTTAATTACTTACTTTGATTTTTTTTTTAATTACTTTTTCACTATTATTTGATCTTTGATCTTTGATTTTCAAACCATAACATTTTGTCTTAAATATTTTTTGCTATGATGTGCATTTTCAGATATAATGGCTTGTAACACTTTAAATTGATCACTCTGTATATATGCAACAGAAACATATAGAAACTCCCATGTTACACATTTTATCTGTATAATACTAAAGATATGACACAGACTGTTCTCGTAAGCAGAATTGCGAGAAAAATGGCGCGTTTCAGTGAGAAATTATACCGCCGAGATAGGGCTTATATAACAATTATATTGATAGGGTAACATTTCGATGTATCCAGATAGCATATATTAGTTTCATATACATTCTTTGAACGCGTGCAATATCTCATAACTGTATTATATACGTTTAAAAAACATATATGAAAATAACTGTACTACTTAGGTATTATGTAAAATAAATTTTATTATAATTTACATAAAGGTTTCTTTTTCTTCATATATATAATCAATATCATACTTTTTGAACAGATAATACAAGTTTTAAAACTTTCTTTTCGAGTGGGAGAAATTTTATTTAAAATGAAGATGATATTTTACATGTAGATTTCATACTCTTTCTTATATCGTTATTTTTTTGTATTGAAGCGAAAATCGTAAAAGAAAAGTTTTAATATACGAATATCTGTAGTATTTCTATAACAATGTTGACTCGTTGTCCAAAGTTAAAATATATGTACAAATATATTTGGTTAACATAAATAAGCTGAGTTTAATTTTTATCTTACAGTTAGTCTTGCCTTACGTGTAATTTTTAACTTTTGATTTCTCTTTATATCGGTAATGATATTTAATTCCACTTTCTGAAGGGATGAGTTATTCGCAACAGAGATACCATTGGTGCCTCGAAGAGTAGACTGAGGAACAACGATATAACGTATGACATCACCGCATATCCAAAAAATAACACCGTCTGTAAAATACATCAACGTGAGTCTCCAATCGTAAATTGCTATTTATGTTATCATTTATCTATAAAAGATTATCTTTCTCAAAAAAAAAAAAGTAAAAACAGGAGCCAAATGCACGCGCATAACCGTTTTTTTTTTATATTTAAAAATGAATATGCTAAACAATTGTTTCTGTGAAAAGATTATTATATTAAACATTAATTCTGAACTATATTTCCTGCTTTAATGGTTTTATCAATTTCTTAATCAATACTCAAATACTTTTGTCAATTTCACGTTTCGTTATTTATCTTGTGTACATTATTACACGGATCATCAACATAACATATTGATATTATACAATACATGAAAAATAAAAATTATTTATTACACAGATTAACATAACATTTTAATATTAAATATGAAAAATATAAGAAATATATATCTAATATATATCTATATAAATATATATGAGAAAAATTGTCTTGTAAGCCTAAATCAACCTAAAAATAAAGGTTATTTAAAAAAAAAAATTAGGTCTTATTGGGTTTATAATTTGGGCCTAAGGCTAAAATTGTAACAAGCTAGGTCAGATGAAAAATATCCTGAACCTGAAGAAGCTGTGTCAGATGGAAAATATCCTGAACCTGAAGATGAAAAAAACCTCTAATCTGGCTGAGCACATCCTGAGCCTGATCAGACCTAATCTGAGCATGGAAATAAAATCTCATCAGCTTTATTAGAGAGCAAAACTGTTTTAAGCCGAAAACAACAAAAAAATAAAGATTTTTACAAAAAAAGAGCTTGGACCTTATTGGGACTAAAATGGGTTTCGGTCCCAAATTGTACTAAGTTATGTCAGATGTAAAAATATGCAAGTAGCAAAATGGGTATTTGAATCAACTTCACAGCGATGACAAATTGGGCGCATCAATAAATATTAAAAAAAAATTTGTTAATAGGCTTGGGTCTTACTGGACCTAAAATAGGCATCGGGCCAAAATTGTAACAGGTTGTGCCAGATACAAAATATCGACCCAAATAACTCAAAACAAACTTGATCACCTAATCAGATGATGATCTGAATTGATCAAATGATCTGAGCTATAGAGCCACTTAGCAGAGAGAAAATAGTAAGCTGACATTTTCTGGTGAGGAGACGCTTCCTTCATAAAAATTCACGATTTCAGACTTTGAATCAAAATAACTCAGCTTCTAAACAATGTAGAGCAAAAGTAAAAACAGTTTTATTAAGTAACGTAAGTCCGAGGAATCGATTAAACTTATCTAGAACTTCATCAAATCAACCGTTATAGTCAAACGAAAAATCTTATTTGCGTTGAACTCATGTTGTCGCATAAATACGAGGGTGGATCAAATATAAACGAGCCTTTTTAAATTGCACGCCCGTTGGCGGCGTGAGAGGTCTGCAACGTTTTGGACAGTGGAGGAGGGTCATGTGGAAGGCAGTAATAACGTTGGCGCGCCAGGTGCTTCTTACTCTCAGCAGCAATCACGATGAACGGAAAAGAGGTACAAGTTGCATAACGTGTTATTATTTCTCGTCAACGAAAATGTAAATGCTGCTGAAATTTGGCGCCGTTTACTCCCACAGTTCGGGGAAAGAACCTTTTCACGGGCTCGGGTGAAGCAGTGGTATAACGAATTTAAGAAAGAACAGTCCCCGCACCAGCACAGAACACCAAGGCTGTTCGAGAACTCATCGAAGGCGATCGGCACTTAACTGTTCTTGAAATCTCTCAGGAACCTCAGATCAGCTATGGAAGTGTGCAATCAATCATTTGCAATTTCGAAAAGTGTCGGCTCATTGGATTCCAAAGTTGCTGAATGAAGAAATTGGCAAAAATTGGCCGATATGCATTGGGCTGTCCTAGAACATCCACCCTACAGCCCAGACCTGTCACCATGCGACTTCCATATGTTTGGGCCACTCAAAGAAGCCCTTGGTGGACAGCGCTTCACAACGAACGAGGAGGTGCAGCAGTTCGTGTATAATTGGTTTGATACACGTTCGCGAACTTTTATGATATCAGGATTACTTTTATGATATCAGAAATTACCAGACCGTTGGAGGAAGTGTATAGATAAGATGGAGGACTATGTAGAAAAATAAGGAAAATGTAAATTAGAATTGATTTTGAAAAACATATGGTTTTTTTGCAAAAGGCTCGTTAATATTTAATCCACCCTCGTATATACCGGTCGCGCGTACATTTGGCTCGATACACAACTATATATCTTGATATTGAACATAATTTTAGGGATTGTCTCTTCTTCTTAATTGAGTCTTTCTACTTAAGTTAAACTTATCTAAACTTGACTTTTCTTTTGCGCAAAATTTGCATTGAAGTGTGCGAAATAAAATAATTATTGACAAAATATCAAACAATATCTAGGTTTACGTAAACGAGAGAGAGAGAGAGAGAAGATGTTGATCGGAATATTTTGAAATAACTCTAAGGAAGTGGTTCGTTCAACGTTTTCAAATACTCCAGACGTTTTCGCTTTCAACGATTCTATAAAATGGTTCATTAACGTTACTAATATTATCAATGTTACCAATGTTATTAAATGGACTTATTTGTAACGTTCAAAAATAAACGTTGATGACAGTCATTAATCGATTACTTTTTGGTTGTGCAATGACTAAGCGACATGGTGATTGACATTATTAATATATTTGCATATGTTGTAGAAAACTTTTTTGGACAATATACTTCTTTATCTCTCTATAATGACGAAGATAAAGGAGAAATTAACAATTACATATTATTTATAATGCTAGAAGTTATCAATCTTTTCTACGAAGCTTTTACCTTCATTATCTTTTGTAATATCGTGTCAAAAATATGTGTTTCTTTTATATTGAATATTGCAGATCTTCGCTTGAAACTGTCTAATAGAACTTGCAATATTAAACGAACTGCGCTCTAAGAAATATGTATACCAATATATGATAGTACGAATCGAAATCTAGTGGTATCCACAGATAACACTCGTGCTTAAGTTAGTAACAAAAAATCAATAGTCGATACATCAGGATTAAACAAGTTTTCGAATAATATATTAATAAAGAAATGCGAAGAAATACCAAGAAACTGTACGAGAGATGTAACGAACGTCCACCCAGTAGAATTAGAAATCTTATAAGCCAGGTATGCACTAGATAAGCACAATATGTCAATCTGGAGAACGGATATATGTACTTCCAGGAGAGAATATAATTTGCCGCACCTGAAAAAAATCCTCACAGCGGTTACATAGTTCTTACGACATATTTTTATATTCGTACGATCTTGTTCTCGCTTTTACAACTACGTAATTGAATTAATAAATATATAGAGAGAACCTTTGTGTATTAAGATACGTAATACTCACCACCGTGACCGGTAACGCAGGCGATCAAGATCCATGCTAAACATATTGCCCAAGCGGAATGTGACAGCGATGTATACATCGCGGACAATACCGGTCCAAAGGTATTTTTGCGTAATCCAAAAACTAAACATATCATGATGGTCAAGCAAAGAGACCAACCGAATACAACTACAGCCTGCAATCACCATAAAAACCGCGAATTAATTATTTCTTGCTGCCGTTATTTATAACGAGATTGACACGATTTTACACTTGTTGATTGCGTTGACCGCGAATAGCAAAGCCTTAGACCATATCATACCATACGTGCGCTTGCATATCGCGTATGTAATCGCTCAAATAAATTATCCGTATGTTTGCTTCAGTTTTTTATGTATCTTTGCATCATTCATATCAGATCTAAGATACGGCTATTTATTATTCGCTTGACGATCCAATGTTTGAAAATTGGGCACGTTGCGAATTGTCGTGCGCGTCAGAAAAAGCGATTACGCGAGGTTCGCTCACTTTCTTCATATTCGTCTTGCAATTGACCCTGAAGAGGTACCATCCGGTGGCCATTCCTATGAGATACGGTCCTATTCTCGTCCACGGCTTGTCGTAGAGGATATCGAAGCGAGCCATCGGATCCTGGATGCTAAGAATGTGTTTACCTATTTTATGCAGCTCCTCTTGTATCTCACGCGTTCTCTAGACGCGCGTAATTAGCGTAATACGTTTCAAAGATGGACGATGTGACATGCGCATTTCGATTAATGCGCTGTGATCTCTATGCTTACCTTGGCACGTGTCTTATGTGTAAAGTAATTAGTGCTGTCGTGACCCACGAGGCGATCAAAAAGAAAGTGACGATGAGTGTGGCCAGCGGTAGAAAGCTGAAAGAAAAAGTCGGTTAGGTAATCGACGCTCGAATTTTAATCTCCTGCCTATATGTTCGGCTGGCCAACTTACTTTGCTCCAATTATTAGGATGATCGAGCCTAGGATGTAGAACTGCGTGTCGTTCGCTAGATACCAAGACCAGGACATGCACTGTGCACAGTGAACGACCAGATATTCAAACATATATATAATTAGAGAAGTATTAATTAATAATTAATGCATAATTGTGGATCTTTGTGATACATATCTTTCGCTTTTGTGGATTTCACTGTACTTGGGTTCAATTTAAATCTACCTACTCGGGAAATAAAGATTAATTCGGAGAAATAGTCTCTGGCCATAGTTTTAAACACACTTTAATTTGTTACATTTCATTGACTTCCGAGAACCAGCTTTATAGTATGGCTCATCTATCGATCGAATTATGTTAAGGAATGATTATTCTGTAAAATGTGATTATTTTTTATGATGTCATTTCACTTGGCTGTTACAACGACCTTGAACAAGTATGAGCCCGCGTTAATTGATAATAACAGAAACATACGTGTTTTGAGTGTGTCAATTGAAATTTAGTTTTATTTTTGTTTATTTGTGACTTGAAACTTCAAATACCTTGCTTATTAACTAGAAAAATAAATTTTTGTGTGAAAAATAATAATATTGTTTACAAAAATTATAGGTAAAACAAGTGATTTGATATCTCAGAAGGTCGCAGGGGTAAAAGCGCTGTTTGACACTGAAAATTCTTCTAATCGAGTAAATATAAAATTAGTAACTTTCCTTCTCCTTTTAACCTGTATTATATTAAAGAATCAGTGCGTGTAATAATATAGTCAGGGACTGTAATAATTGAAGATTTAAATTTCAGTTAAACGCGTCTGATATTGAGAAGAGTATTTGGGATATTTTAGATCGTGATATTTTTCCAAGAAAATTTTTTCTAATAAATATACCGACAGACTGTATCAATTAAATAAAGTAATCAATACAAATATTTTTTTATAAAGTTGCCATTGGAAGAAATTGATCGATGCTTTTAAATTGTGCGGAATTGCGTTTACCCGATCAGGTACGTCGAAATAGACATTTATGTACAGAGCATTCCGCCACCAGAATTTCTCGCAATTTTTGTAATCTAGTGCAGCGGGTAGTTCGATCATGGAGTGATCATGACACCACTTCATCGACACCTGGACAAGGCCGATCATCAGCAGGTAAACCGGGGTCAATCGAAAATATCTGTACGATATCATTCCTAAGAACTGCAGAACCTGACCCTGACAGCCCTTTATCACCCTTTTCTCTTGCATCTTCTTGTTTTTGATAGTGCGGTAATAAAGAAATGTCACCAAGCATCCGCTAAAACAGAGGTCCATTGTTTTTTCATTTTTATTCCGATTATCTATTATCTACTATATTATACATGTGCATATAATTTTCCTACAATATATATGTATATATATTTTTCTACAATGTGTGTGTGTGTGTGTGTGTGTGCGTGCGTGCGTGCGTGCGGCGTGCGGCGTGCGGCGTGCGTGCGTGCGTGCGTGCATGCGTACGTGTGTGTGTGCGTACGTGTGTGCGTGCGTACGTGTGTATACACACGTGTGTGTGTGTGTGTTCATATATTTATTTTTATTAATTTATTATATATATATAAAATTAATAAAATTAATAAAGAAAATATTTTCTTTTCCTCTATCATTCAATACGTCTATTAATTAATTGAGTATAATGAGTCGTGCACACACCTCATGAAGAAAAATGTATCCACGGAATATATGCTATTACCGATGATCTGATAGAGAAATTTTCCCTCAGCTACATTCCGGAACGTTTTATTCTCTATAACAAAAAGGAAGGTACATTATGATGGAATCGATTGTCTTCTGAGTTACATATACGTACCTGAGACTTCGTTGGTATTAAGACAGACATGACCCAGAATCACCCAGAGCATCGAATAAAATCTTAGGCCGTGTATTGGCGCTAAAGTATCCGTACCAACGTGCAGACTGAAGATTTTGGATATATTTACAAGTAGACTGAAGGACATCAGTGTCTCCGACCAAAGTTTCGGCGTTGTGTTTGAATTTTGAACATCTACAAAGAATTATTAGAATGAGTTAACATCGCAAAAGTATGGTGTAGAAAAAAAATGTAACTGATTACCGAGGGAACCATTGTGAGTCTTCACGGCCCATAATTTTGAAATAGTAACTTTGTTATCGAGTTTCTCGTTTGATGTCAGTGTTGACAATATTACTACATTTTTGTTATTAATCTTCTCGTCAGTCCTTTGTAAGACTTTGTATCGCAATGAAATGTCGTAACAAGTACCGATGAATGTAAGCGAGCATACCACGACGAAGGAAACTCTGCAGTATATTTTAATTGTATATATATATATATTACTTATATTGATATAAAAGATTATTTCATGATCACAAGAAGTAAAAGTACAAGAAATAATATTCAACGGGCTGTAACATTGATAAAAATAAAAATTATTGAATGGTGCAAGAAGCGTTTTACAGTCTAAAGTCTCTACCTTTTATATATATTATTACAGATAAAGTTTTATTAATTTTTACAATTTTATATAAATATAAATTGAAATCCGACATATGTCAACATTTTTAGCAAGATTCTTCTAATTGCACCACGGAAACAAAAAATCAATGAGACTTACATAATTTGAAAGTGCAAGGTTTTTTCTTTAACTCACGTACAGGCAAATAGCGAGGTGATTCTTATTTTTCACCGAGTTATTCAATGATATAAATAGCAGAAATAATATCTTTATTTTAATCGCTTACAGTAGGTAAACGAATGGATATTCAACGTTCATTAAGTAATAAATAAAAAGTTGGAAATTTCTCCTTCAAGAAGCATTTGTCACATTTTTAATAAAATTTAGTTTTCGTTAAAAAACGCAATTGAGAGACAGGAAGAAGTGGAATATTGAACAGTCACGATTTTTCTTCTAACTCGAAATGTTTCGGCAATAAACACAAATAATGTTATGATTGTAACATAGCTGAAAATTAGAGATTTCCAGCTTTAAAATACTTTTAACTATTTCTCTATCATTATTTTTGCCGTAGTTACAGCCTGTTGAATTAAGGTATAAATTCTTGCGGAATTTTCAATTTGCTGATTCAACCCAATTCAAGCAGCGTTCCGATAATCGTTGCAATACTGCAATCTATAGTTCATATTACATATACTCGTGTATTATAGTTTGCAATACTGTAGCAATTATTGGAACGCAGCCTATGGTGCAATAAGAGAATTTAATATAGAAAATATATATAGAAAATTTATTTTACTTTTCTGATAGTTTAGAATTACTGCTTCTCTTCCCCCTTTCCCCCCAATAGATTCAACTCACAGTCGAAATAAAGTTAACCAGAAAAAGTAGAGTCAATCAGAAAAATCAAACCTGATTTGAGTCACCGACGAATAGTGACACAAATTAAATAGAAAGTAAAAACAATATTTTTGCTTATATATCAACACAGGCCAACATTATCCACATGAGCTGTAACTTGGGCTAAAATTACGAAAGCTAAGTGATTCGGGAATCATTTTAAAGCTTGTAGCGTCTCTATTTTATTACTATATTACAATAATAAACTGCTATAATATATATAATATTAAACTGCTATATTACTGTATAAAATTTAACATTTAACCTTATATTTTAGTTGAATTTTCACAATGAAAATTAATTTTTATAAAAAATGTAATAAATGTTTCTTGAAAAAGGAATTTTCAACTTTTTATTTAATGCTTAATGAATGTTACATACTCGTACCTTCGCTGTAAGCGATTAAAAGTGTCATTTTTGTTCTTTTTATATCATAAATAACTCGATAAAAGAATAATCACTCTACTAATATTCCGTCGATCATCTCCCAATCTTTATTTTTTCCAGTGTTGCAATCTATTGAATTTTGTTGCTTACTTCTTATTGTCATGAAATAATACTTGAATTTTTATATGTGAGTATATATTTGTGGTTGCTACACAGTAATGAACTATGTAAAACGTACATATTAATTTAAATTAATTAATAATTATTAATTAATTAGAAATATAACAATAAAATTATTTTTCACATTGCGCTAATACTACTACGGGATAATGCGAACTGTATAATACCAACATACAACAAAATATAAAATATCATGTCATCCCAAAATACATATCCTGTTGAAAGATTTCGTACGTAATAAATGGTAATGTTTAACGGAAAATCAGCGTCAGACTGAAATTGAGCAAAGTATAAAAGTCTCTCGACGTCCTTTGTGTTGCACGTTATTGGCAGACATAATCCAAGCGTGATATTCCGAGTCTGACAAATAAATGTTTCATTATTAAGGAGATTCAGACTTATAATGAGTTGATAAAATCGTCCACATTTTATACTAATTACCTTGTTTAGTTCTAGTTCCAAACTGTCAAAGGCAAATTTAACAGAGTTCATACTGACGCGAAAAGGTGGTAATTCTTCGTTTCGCTGGAGTTGTTCACTCCTTTGCCATTCCGCGAATCCCTCTTCCATTTTACGACATTGATCCACATCTCCGAGCCAATATGTATTACCGGAAAATGTGCCCCACGCGCGCTTGCCATCCGCGTCCATCACTAAAAGCAAAAACTTATACCTTTACTTTTATGAATACATAGTACAATTTATATAGTAATATAATTTATATATATATATATATATAACATATAACATATAATATATAATATATATATATAACATATTATATTTTATAAAATAGATTAGCGTATCTACAATTAAAAAATAAAACTACATTGATGCTTAAATAAAGGAGAGGTAAAAGATTTGAAGCATTAAGGCTGCTCAGATAGCCAAATATCTGAAAAGTTGTAATTATATTGCCGCCAATTGTTGAAGCAACTACCTTCAAGAAATTAGGAACAAGGTGAGGTAGCATTATGTCCGCCACGTTGAACTCATGTGAATTTTAATTCCATCAACGGTAAGTTGATAGCAACGTGTTAACTCTGGTTTGCTATTCAAAAGAAGTGATTTATGACAGCAAATTGAGAACAACTTTTGCTATCATAAAAAGAAAATGTTTCACTCTAAAATTATTAATATTTCTAATATATATCCCTTTTTACTGTGTTGTTTTTAAGGAGTTGTCGATTATTTCTTGCGATATCTTCTCAATTTCATGCCACTTAATAGATCCTATTTATAATTATATTTGAAACATTCACTTGCTACCGGCGGAGATCAAACTCAGGACTTCCAGATTGATTGTGAGTCAGCTGCTTCTCATATTACAACACATTGTCTATATATGGTTTTGAGTTTTATAGAATACCACTTATATCTTATAATAGAAATATATAATATTATTACTTAAATTAGTCCTTTAAATGTTATTAATATATAAAAAAGAGATGGTATAGTTCCTTAAATATTTTTATTCAAGTATACGCTTTCTGAAATGTAATAAATTATATTAAAAAAGAGTGACAATGGCGAGACGACGGTTACAGTAAGTAAGACTCAATCATTTACTCCCCAGATAGTACAATGTACAAAACCGAAATATAAGATGTCTTTAAAATGCCTTGAAGATATCTTAAAGCATACTCAAGATCGAGATCAAGACATGTTTCGATTGGACATTGTGCTGTTTGGATTGTTTGTAATAGACTGTCAACACTGTTAGAATGACGAGAATATGTCAGACGCATTCTTCAATCGCGAATAGAGATATTCACTTCGCTACACAGAGTGAAAATATTCATTCCACGATACGGAATAAAATGTTTTATCCTCGATATGGAGTGAAAGAATTTACTTCGTAAGAACAAAAAGTCACTCCAATTCGAATGATTCAATCGTTACTCCATTTTCCGAGTGGAAATTTTGTTCCGAGTTTAAAGTATATCATAGTACCAGGCAGAAGATATCTTCGCATCTTTGTGTGTCGTTACGTCTTTTATTTCGCGGTAATTTTTTTGCTGAAATCTCTATCGAAAAGTTGTAAATTTACAATTTCATATTGTTGATCATTTAGTTGCATTCCAATATTCACTGTCAGTTCTGAAAATCTATGTGTTCGTAACATAAACTGTAGATTTCCAGCACTGTGACAGTGAATATTGAGACGCAACCTCCAACAACGAGAGAGCTATAATTAAAATACGTCATACATTAAGAACATATCGGATGAGAATCATTATATTTGTATTATATTGGGCAAACTAATACATAACACATGTTGTTACATGTCAACTTAACGGACATTTTGTATATATGTCAATTAATATGATAATTGTCAATTTGACATATTTTTATATAATCATTTTATGATATAATTATACATAGGCAACGGAATCGACCATATTAACAACTGCTGATAAACGTGGATAGATAGAATAGCTATTCTGGCGCAATTACATTTATGCTACGTTTACAGTACATTCATATTTTTGTATATTTGTTTCAGGTTTATAACTGTTTCTTTCCATCTTTAACTTTTATTAAAGTTGGCAATATCAAAAAACGATAAAGAAAGTATAAAAATGAAAAGTTTGTTGTTTTATTTACCTAGTTACTTATTAATCTTAATTTTCTTCTATCTTATTAATCTTAATTATTCCGTTTAACCCCATACTTTTTTATATTTATATTTTTTAATATTTTATACATACGATGTTGCTCGGCTCTTAACCGATAATGATGCGGACCCGTTGAAAACAGGATAATTAGGAATACTAGAACTTCGTTGGAAAGGTATGTGAGTGACTATATCGACAATTACCATCAGCGCGTGCGCCTTTGGGTAGACAACTCGTCGCAATGAGTCGTATTTTGTTGCAACACTTTGTACATAAACTTCATTAGGTTTTTGATATTGATAGTAAAATCATAGGATTCTAGGAGAAGATTCATTATGAAAAAATTATAACGCGTTTATATCCTCCCAATGAACGCGTAATATTCCTAAAATATTATATAAATATTAAATATTAAAATAATATTTCTATTAATATATTCTAAAAATATTATATAAAATTTTTAATATTATAGGAATGTTCTATTGATATTATGTGTCCACATAATATTTTTGACATATTACAAAAATGTTCTTAGAATATTAAAAAAATAAAATAATAATAATATATAAAAATAGATATAAATAAAAAAAAAATACACACATATATATATATATATATA